CAACTGATGACCCAGGTTCGATTCCCAGCATCCACATGGCAGCTATGAGTCATCCTTAACTCCAGTTCCAGGGGAATCCAAAGCCCTCTTCTGACCTCCACAGCACTGCACGACATGGGTGCACTCACATACATGCAGGCAATACACTCATACACATAAAATAATAAATATTTTTTAAATGTGGTATATTTATACAATGGAGTTCTATTCAGCAGTAAAGATGAAATAATGAAATCTGTAGGTAAATGGATGGATCTAGAAAGTGTTATACTAAGTGAAGTAACACAGACTCAGAAAAATAAATGACACATGTTCTCCCTCATACGTGGCTCCTAGCACCAAATCCTTTTAAATTCCAGGTCCTTTTAATAAGACAATGATATACAGCAGTCCCTTCTGCACAAAATAACCACCATCATCACAACTTCGGCTGAGCCCTATCCCTAAACATTCACAATTGTGCTTGTTGATGGTTGTGCTTATTCATTAAAGGAGTGCCAAAGCACGGTCACTGGACCCTCATCTGAATATCCAGCCACTCTTCCCAGCCAACTAGTCCAGCCTTGGAAGATAAAAGAAAAATGAGGAAGAACACAATAGAGGGATGCTTTTGGAAGCCCTTGTCAAGAAACTCCAATGGACTCTCATATGAACATTTGAAAACTGCCGTTCTTTTTTCTAGTTCCCTGTCTAGAACTTGTAATGCTAATTACTCTTGCCTTTACTTCTCCTTCACATCTCCCATTCATGATTCAAGGACTTTTTTCTTTCCTTAGAGACAAAAGTTAGGCAATTTGGCATCTTTTAGATACACCCACTGAAGGGGTACCCCAATGGCCTCAACCTGCATCCCTGTTCAGAATGCAAGAAGCCAGAGCGGCAGGCATCCCTATTCCCTATTGGCAATTTGGGTAACCCCTTCAGAGGATGGTGTAATAAGAGTAGGAGGTAAGAATTGGCTAGGCAGTTAGGGTAAAAAGACTCCAAAGAAATGTAGCCAGTTTCTTGGCTAAAAGTCTAAATGTCCTTGGGCCTGTTAGCAACATACTCTCTTCCAAGGCCAAAAATGTCAAAAGTATTTGATAGCTTGTATCTAATCCTTAAAGGATTTTAGGGTTACGTCTTCAGAGGGGGAATGTTGGAGGGGAGGGAGTGGGAATGGATTTGATCAAAACACCTTATATGCATGCATGAAATTCTCAATAAAGTTTTTGTAAAAATTGAAAAAAAGATAAAACATAAGACAAGAGAAAGAAATTAAAGGTAAACAAATAGACAAAGAAGTGGGACAAATTTTCCCTACTGACAGATGATAAAAATTCAACTAGGAAACTTCTAGAAATGATCAACACTTTTAGCAAAGTAGCAAGATACAAAATTAAGTTACAAAAATCAATAGCCTTTCTATATGCCAATAATAAATATGCTGACCTGGAAACACACCCATTCACAGCCTCCAACAAACAACAAAGTAATCTAGGAATAAACTTAACCAAGAAGGTGAAAGATCTCTACCATAAAAACTTTAAATCTCCAAAGAAGGATATTGAGGTCAATACTAGAAGATGGAAAGACCTCCCATGTTTGATGGATTGGTAGAATTAACATCGAGAAAATAACCATTGTACCAAAAACAATTTACAGATCCAATTTAATCCCAATCAAAATCCTGGTGACATTCTTCACAGAAATAGAAACAAAGTTCTAAAATTCATATGGGAGCACAAAAGACCCCCTGACAGCAAATGGAGTCTTGAGCAAAAGACACAATGCTGGAGGGATTTCCAAACCAGATTTCAAAATGATACTAGAGAGCTAAGGTAATGAAAACTGTACGGTACTGGCATAAAAACAAGACATTTAGATCAACAGAACAAAACAGAAGATCCAAACATGAGCTCACACAATTACAGTCACCTGATAATGTAACAAAGATGTCAAAAATATACTCTGGAGGAAAGACAGCAATCTCCAACAAATGGTCCTGGGAAAACTGGATCTCTATGTGTAGAAGAATGAAATTAGACCCTGCACAAATATTAACTCCAAATGGATCAAAGACCTTAATGTGAAACCTGATACACTGAAATAGTCACAAGAGACCATAGGCAGTGTCCTGTGGTACAGGAAAGAACTTTCTGAATAAAGCTCCATTTGCTTAGGAATTAAGTTCAACAACTGACAAACGCAACCTCACAGACTAAAAAGCTTCTGTACAGCAAAAGAAACAACCAATCTAGTGAAGAGGAAGTCCAGAGTGGGAGAGAATCTGTCCCAGCTATACATGTAATAAAGGATTAATATCCAGAATATACAAAGAACTCACACAAACAAACAAACAGAACCATAATGACCGAATTTTTAAAAATGGGCTTACAAAGTCTGAACAGAGTTCTCAAAAGAAGAAATAAAAATGGTTACAAAATATCTTTAATAGTGCTCAAGGCTGGGAGTGGTGGCACATGCTTATAATCCCAGTACTCAGGAGGCAGAAGCAGGTGGATCTCTATGAGTTCAATACACAGTGAGTTCTAGACCATCCAGGGCTACATATTGAGACCCTGTCTCAAAACAATAACAACAACAACAAAAATCAAGTGTTCAATATCCTTAACAATTAAGGAAATGGAAATTAAAGTTACTTTAAGACTTCATCTTACCGCTGGGTGTACTGGCGTATGTCTTTAGTCCTATCACTGAGGAGGCAGAGGCAGGCAGATCTCTGTGAGTTAGAGTCCAGCCTGGTCTACATAGTTAGTTCCAGGCCAGCTGGAGCTATAGGGAGACCCTATCTCAAAAAGACCACAAAAAGAGAGAAAGAAAGAAACAGAAAAAAAAAAAAAAAAA